TTCACCCAGGCTGATTTCTTCAAGTGTTTTCCCTATACTTTCTTCTAGTATTTTTATGGTTTCATGTCTTAAGTTTAAATCTTTAATCCAGTGAGAGTCAATCTTAGTTAGTGGAACAGATTTTAAAAAACAAAACAAAACTAGGCTTTTGTCCTGGTTCTGCTACATAACAGGATAACCTTAACCACCTCTCTGGGATCCAATTTCTTTAAATTGCTAAGGAGTTGAAATAAATGATTTTCCTATGGACTATTTAATGCTCAGCTCTATAAATTCTTATTCAGAGGAGTCAACGAAACCCTGATAGTCATAATATATTCATTGGGTGGCTTTGAATAAGAAAACTTTTGGTGTGAATGCCCAGCTCAAATCCTAAAATCTCCCTTCTCAACCCACCCCAATTGCAGGAGTGGGAATCTGTAGCTATATTAGAGAAAAATATCTTCCCAGTCATAACTATGAAGAAAAATAAGCAGTTGAAGCTACTGTTTAGAGAGTAAAACAGATGTGCAAAAGGTCACAAAAACAAGAACTATGGGAGTAAGAAACTCATTTTGCTTACTGATGAATCTCCAGTGCCCAGACCTGGTAGGCCTCCATTAAATAATTGTTAAATTGTTAAATTTCATTCTTCTCCATGACTTACTGTTTTGTTTTGTTTTGTTTCTTTTTGAGACAGTCTCACTGTGTCACGCTGGGTAGGATGCCTTATCAACTTACAGCAACCTCTAACTCATGGGCCTCAGCCTCCCAAGTAGCTGGGACTACAGGCACCTGCTGCAACGTCCCACAGTTGGGGGGGGGGTTCCTCTATTTTTAGTAGACACAGTGTCTCCCTCTTGCTCAGGCTGGTCTCAAACTCCTGAGCTCAAGTAGTCTGTCTGCCTCAACCTCCCAGAATGTTAGTATTATAGGCACTCTGAGTCACTGCATCCGGCCCACCTACTCCTGCATTTCTTTAATCATTCCTTTATTTTTTTCCCCTTAAACTAGTGAAGTTTGGTTTCTTAACAACCAGAAGGCCCTACCAAATATATTGTGGGTCCCACCCCTCCATAACCGCTATTCACTTCACTACAGATATATGCCAGGCCTTAGGAAAGACAACATACATATTAAAGACAGGACTGCTGCAAGTTCCTGCCTGGGGGTATAGAACTGACACAAGAGGAGAGTGGGTCAGTTGGTCAGTAGCACTAGAGTGGGGTAGTAATAGAAGCCAGGGAAATACAAATTTGGGCTGGGAAAGTGATAAGAAAGCAGAAGCAGAGAAGGAAATAAATAATGATGGTGTCGAGAGACATCCTCGTATTTTCCTGCCATAGACTATCTGTGCCCCTTCCCATGCTTATGCAGAAATCTTAATCTTCAATATCATAGTATTAAGAGGTGAGGCCTTTGCCAGGCAATTAGGTTATAAGGGTGGAGCTCCCATGATGAGATTTTCTTATAAAAAAGACAAGCTTGCTTTTTCTCTCTCTGCCATATTAGGATATAATGAGCAGACAGACATCTGTAAATCAGAAGTGGTCCCTCACCAGACACTGGGTCTGAATGCACCTTGATCTTGAACTACTTAGCCTCCAGAACTGAGAAATGTTTGCTGTGTAATACATCCAGTCTATGGAAATTTGCTTCATTCTGGACTGACTGAGACACCTCCTTTCATTAAAGTCCTCCCCCCTAACCTTGAGTAAATTTCCCTTTTCATTAGTCAAAACCAAAGGCAAACTTAGGAGTGATGTCCATTATCTTGATCATAATGATTTGTTTTGACATACATATTTGTTATTATTACAGTTTAACATTATAAAATTAACAAAATAATATAAAACTCATATTCTGGCGAAATAGCCACATGGCAGCCAAAAACCGTATATTCCCTTCCTGTTCTCCTGCCCGTTCGCGCATTCTTTCCAAAAATCGGGACTTTTTCAAAACGCCACAGGATGCAGAACAAATTGTTAAAAAGCAGGACTGTCCCACCAAAAGCGGGACCTTTGGTCACCCTATGTATGTGTCTGACACTATAACCACTGTACTATGGGTACCAAGCAAACAAATCAAATGTTATACTTTAAATATGTGCAGTTTCTTGTACTTCAATAAAGTGACAAACGTGGAATGCTTATTAGCTGAATTCTTTCAGTTATTTTTGATACCAATAATGTACTGACCATGATACATTTAGGTAGGTTCCTTATTAACTGTGCTATTTTGGACTGAATATCTGTACTTCTTTATTCCACTGCCTGCCCACCTCCCCACTCCCATTTAACCCTCATAGAAGTTAACAATTATAAGTGTCATAAATTGGTGTGCTTTAATTCATAATCAGAACTAAAATGCAAGAGCATGCGTATTTCTTGAATTTATCAAGGTTTTATATTTTAAACTCTAAATCTCTTCCAGATGTTAAAATTAGTATAAACTGAGGTAACTGATTTAACATAAACCAGTGCTATGGCTTATGTTACAATTATCTACTCACGTAACACCCTTTTTTAGGGACAAGGCCATTTATCTTGATTCTCAAATTTACAAGCACTCTGTCTGGTACCAGAGCAGAGGAAGGAGGTATAGGAAATGACAAAAAAGAATATGATGTAAGACAGAATCTGCATGTAGATTATGTGTGGGTGCAGATTATACAAGATTTTGTAGTCCATGATAAAAGTCCTTAGATTTTATTCTGATCATGATATAAAACTGCTGAAGGTTTGTTTTTTTTCAGAGACAGAATCTCACTTCATTGCCCTGGGTAGAGTGCCATGGCATCATAGCTCAGAGCAACCTCAAACTCCTGAGCTCAAAAGATCTTCTTGCCTCAGCCACCCAAGTAGCTAGGATTACAGGCACCCACCACAACACCCAGCTATTTTTAGAGATGGGGGGGGGTCTCAGTCTTGCTCAGGCTGGTCTCAAACTCTTAAGCTCAAGAATATGCCCGCCTCAGCTTCCCAGAAAGCTAAGATTACAGGCATGAGCCACCATGCCCAGCCTCACTGGAGAATTTCAAATATCACAGTGGCATGGTCTGATTCATATTTTAAAATAAGAATCACTCTGGATGCCGTGTGGAGAATAAACTGTATGAGGGAAATACAAAAGCAGAGAATATACCAAAAAGAATGGGTGCACATGTTCATTGAAAGACAGATAAAATAATTTTCACAGCAACTTTATTCATAATGACCACAAACTGTAAACAACCTAAATTTCTATCAACCATAGAGTGGATTAATAAATTGTGGTACAGTCATGCAATGGAATAGTACACAGAAGTAAAACGTGAACTGCTGCTACATACAACATGGATTACTCTCACAGACATAATGTTGGAACAAAAGACACAAGAGTGCATATAATCATATCACTTACATAAAGTTTTAAAACAGGCAAAACTAGTCCATGGTGATAAAGTTCAGAATAGTGGTTATCAGTGTGTAGAGGATGCACAAGGGCATATACTGAGATGCTAGAAATAGTCTGTATCTTGACGTGGGTGGTACATTCAATGGTGTATATGAAAATCTGTTGAGGTGTACACCTAATATTTGTACGATTTTAAGTTTTACGTCAATAAAATGGACAAAATATATTGAAAGAAAGCATATAAATGAAGAGATACCACCATATGTTAGTCAATAGTGCCATCTTCTAAACACTTTTGGTTTTCCTCCCAAGTACATGGCAGGATTGCATTCCTACTAGAACTTTCTTGTGGCTATGTAACTTGATATGTCCAATGAAGGAGCTTTGCAGGTATTTAAGTGATCTGCCATACATTTTTTCATTTTCCAGAATAAGCAGCCATCTGTTTTGTCATGTTGAGTCCCAGAATGAGAGCAACTTAAAACACAAATTAGTGAACTTTTTGTGTAATGGGCCACAAAATAAATATTTTAGGCTTTGTGAGACAGATATTCTCTGTCCAACTACTCAACTCTGCCAATGTAGAACAAAAGTAGCAACAAGATATAAACAAAGGGACAAAGCTGTACTCCAGTAAAACTTTGGATAAACAGGCAGCTGGACGTATTTTGCCCATGGGCCATATTTTATCAACACCTGACCTAGAGCAAAGTCCTTAGCCAAAATGCAACAGACAAGCTGTGTGAGACCCTGAGATTTTGCAGTTGTTACCCAATGACAACCCAGCCCATCCTGATACTAAAATTGTTTCCCTGTTTTTAAAAAAAAACAACAAAAAAATAAAAAACAAAAACCTAAAATACATTGGCTTAGTAGTTGGTTGGAGGCATTTACGAAATTGCTATAGGAGGATGAAAGAAATGACTTACATAGGGCAATTTGTATCATGGAGTAGTGAACTTGCCCCTTGAGATAACCAGAAAGGCAGATAATTGACCCTTTACTACAGAAATAGAAAAAACATTTTATAGTTGCTGTTAGCTGCACTTAACAAAATGTACAGAAAAGAGATGAATTCAAAAAAGAATTGGTCAGTTTGCAGGCAGAAGTGAAAGGATGGAAAGAATTCAGAAATTCAAGTAGTTTTTGGGTAGAATAAAGTAACTTTCAATGACAAAAATTAGGACAAAAATGAGAAATACTTGAGCTCAAAGTTTGATTAAAATCCAGTTTCACAGCAACAACCAAATCACCAGATGACTATAAGTGCCACCGTTAAGTACTCTGAATGACTTAATGTGCCTCTAACCAAAAGTCTAACAAAGATTACAATGCTAGTTAAACCCTTCACTGGACAAAATGGCTTAAGGAAAAAGTGACTAAAGATATGGTTCTCCTCATTAAGCCTGAAAGGCTTCAGGTACCCAGAAATTAAGTTCAGAGACACATGAGAACAAGAAGGCAAATAAATATAGCAAATCTAAAAAGTATATATATTCACTAGATGTTACTTCTGGGTCACCTCCATTTGGAAGGTGATGAGGACATACTGTAGGTATGAAAACAAATGAAGTGAATTATCTAGTGTCCAGAAGGGCTCAGTCATTCTTTTGTTAAATTTACTTACTTTTAAATCCCAGAAGAGCCAAAAATCATCTGTAAAGTAAAGTAGCAAGTAAATAGCATGCCATTTTCTCCTAGGGTTGATGCCTAGGAAAGGAAAAATGATTATTAACTCTTAAGCTGCATTATCTTTTTTCCAGTACTGAATGTAGTATAGTTTTAGGTCACTAAACAGTCATCTAATCTTTTCCCTCTATATGTAGGTTCCTTTGGAAATCTGCTTCTGAAAATTAAAAAAAAAAAAAATTGAAGACTTTTTTTGCTCACAAAGGGCAGTGAAAAAGATTAAGACTCCACATCATGAATACACAAATTTAATATTACATAGTGGACTTATGTGAGTACATCTAGATTAAATTCAAACTTTACTACTTAGTATGTTTACTAGAGAAAACTGCAATTTCAGTATTTTTCCATACCAACATTTACATAATAAATATTTGAGCCACATGCCAAGAGAAGCATTGCACTAAATTCTGGGACTATGACAATGAAGCAAAGAACTTAATTTCTTAATGTAACATGTGCATAAAAATTACTTAGTTAAAACTCCAAGGCAGAACAACTATGAAGGTCAAATGAGACTGTGAAAGAGGTTCAAAGACTGTGAAACACTACACAAATATTTATTTATCCAAATATTTATTGAAATGCCAGGCATCGTGGTAAGCACTAGAGAGTGAACAAGGCTTATGTGATCCCTGCCCTTATAAAGCTTATACTCTAGCAGTGATCAATAAGCAGGAACAGTAAAGTGTGCTAAGTGTATGGGGAAGAACAGGGTATATAGGGAATGCACAATAAGGGCACCTAATCTAGAGAGTATCAATAAAGGCTTCCTAGATGAAATGGCATATAAACACACACCTGAAAGATGAAGAAAAAATTGTATTGTAAGGGTAAAGGTGAAAGCAGTGAAGTGACACAATCACATAGGTTTTTTGGAACAATTCAGCTCTACAGTGTATAAAGAATCAGAGAAAGGAAGACTAATGAGGGGGTTGTTGCTTATAATTTAGGTAGGGTGATGGAATTTGGGTATGTTGATGGCTAGGAAGTACTAACACCGGAGAGTTGGGAAAAGTCGGTTTTTGGCTTCAGCAAGGCCAACTAAATAGTTGGTCATGGTATGCCGTTTACTGGAGGAAGAGCAGGGATGGGGGCAAGACCAATGACATGTTATAGTACCTATGAGAGAGCGAAGTGGATTTATGTTAGCAATTAGATACATAAATTAGGAAAGGTCTAGAAAGGAGATGAATTTGGGAGTCATATGCATATAGATGATAACTGAAGCCATGGAAGGAGATGAGATTAGCTAGGGAGATGATGTAGACTAAGGCAGACTAACACAATTTTTTTTTTATTAAATCCTATTAATACTTAAGGAAAGAGGTGCCAGCAAAGAAGACTGGGAAAGCATACCTGGAGATAGTATCTTCTCAAAGTTAAATGAACTCAAGTATTCCAGCCAGGGTAAGAATACTGACAAGGACTTAGAGAGGTTGGTAAAGCAGTCTGAGTGGCAATATCTGAGACTGGGAATACAAATCTTTCAAGAAAACTAGTAGGAATAAGATATAAGCAGTAACTGGTAAGGACATAGAGTTTTCGAAAAATGATACATATTTTAACTATATTCACTGACACAACAGGACCAGCGACAACTATATTTGTGTAAAAAAAAAAAAAAAAGACTGCCATGCAGTTACAGAATTACTTAATACAGAAAACAGTAAAATACACTTTTTTTTACACATGAGACTATTTTATAGCAAATTCTCTATAGTTGACAATTAATTTAACATACTTGGCTTATGTCTCCCCTCACTGAGTGACTATATGATGCAAACTAATTGTATTATCACTTTAAGCAAAACATACTCGAACTTCACAAAATGTACAAGATTTCAATACTTGAGGAACTGGGGTCAGAAAGCTTAAGTGGCTTTCAGGTATTCCAATATTTCTCTCAAGTAATAAAGAATTTGCCATGAAAGAGAATACTATAAGCTACGGGGAAATGACCAGTAGGTCTTTTGTTGTTGTTGTCATCCACTTGTTTTTCCAGATATTTAAGCTTACTTTATTAATCAACATTTCAATTTCACTATTTCTTGACCAGTATCTTCTCAATATATAATACTTATTTTTCTGTATGAAACAGGATAGACATCTTTAATCTGATTCAAAATTATTGTTTTACTTATTAAGTGCTATGTGAGCTACTGGAACTTATCAATGCCTTCATTGCACCTTACCTAACAAATATCCTGTCAGTTTGCCCAAGCTGCCCTTTTAATTTTGCTCCTACCGGTAATTTGCCCGGTCCCTCAAAGTAAAATAACCTGCATTTCGGGAAGAATATATCTTCACTGTGCCAGCCTATCCTATGTACTGCAGAAGGTGGATGTCTTCAGGCTTAAATGCCAGCAGAAGCCCCTAGTAAATATGATAAGCAAAAAAGTGCCTTTACACATTTCTCAACATCTTCTAGGAGGTTAAAAACTATTAGTTAAAAACTACTGACAGAACTTTGGTTTTTAGGCTCTTATATCATCTATTTTATTGCCCAGGCACCAGTACCTTCCAAATTCTTGGTTGTATCCTCATTCCTTGGACCTGCTGACTGACCACCGGATAACATGTCGAAATAGTAAGGATATGACTTTAGCACAAGAATTTCAAAATGTATTTGAGAGGATCTATAAGTTGAGTCTTGCTTACACTTAGTTTTACATATTGGACTTCACTGTACGATTGCCTTTTCACGGTTAACATAAATTTGAAAATTACTGTTTTTGTACAAAGCAGATGTCTTACTAGATATAAAATTACTACAATCTATGAATAAGGCTGCTTCTTAAATATTTCTACTTATGCACTGTCTTAAATACAGAATGTGTGGAAGTTACAAATTCTAGATTAAATCCATTTCCAACATCTAACAAAATCTGATATTGTATCATTTTTAAACAAAGGATTTCTTTTAAGCAAGATTTTTTAATAAAGCAGTAATATCATGCAGATAGGACAAAAAAACTAAAATATCTCACACTTCCTGATCCTCCTCTTTTTGACAGGGCTGAACGTCTGTCCAGAGTAGAAAAAAAAGAATTACTAACTGGCAACCATTAAGATTCTCTACTTACCGTAGTCCTTCAATAGGCAAGCTGATAAAACAGCTCCTAATTGTAAAAAAAAAAATTGAGGGGAAACCCCCCCCCCAATTGGTTAGTCTCATCTCCAAATTGCAGGAAGTCTCCTAAATCACCAACTTAAAAATGACTTTTGCTCCTGTCACTAAAATTTTATTTGATTTCTTCCTCTATTAGCAATATCACTATTACTAGGGTGGGTGAAGGAGAGGAAATCTGTCAATATTTACTTCAGACTCAGAAATGTATAAAAAAAATAGCTTCAAACATTTTGATAGTTAAGACAAAATAGCTCCACTGTATGTTATATTTTTCCTTTTTGAAAACTTAAGGACCTTGCTATGTGAGTTTTTGCAAATTGGTTCAAACATACATTTGAGTTGAAAATTTAAGATTATACTAGGTATCTGAATTGTAACACTTCATTAAAATAAGAGCTAAAATTTTTTGGCATGTATTTTCAGAACACCTTAGAAACAGACTGCAAATTCAACTCTTTATCAATACTAAAACCTCTTTAAAATCAATTGTACCATAAAAGATAGTGAATTTGTCATTCAACTAAGTTTTTAAAAAGGTGGCATTCTCATGTTTTAGTCCCAAGCTGCCATTTGAGATGGAAAAGAAAAGGCAACTGTCAAAAGGATTTGAATTGTGATTAATTTGGACAGCTGGTAATAAACTCGATTTCTCACAATCCAAATTATTATAGTAAACATGAAAAAAAAAACCAATTTTTGCTTTTAGAACTGAATTCTTGTTAAGAATATTGAATTTTTCAATTTTGTACTACAAAAGCTCATGGATTAGGTTCATTATTTCTTTCTCTCATAAGATCATCCAAACAAGGTTCCATTTCAGTTGTCGCCATCCGAAACAGGGCTTGAAGATGCTCATCTGTCAATGGCTGGCTCAAAGTGTGTTGGTTTCGAGTCAAATACGAAAAAGCCTTTCCGCAGATTTGGTTGCTATCAAACAAAGATGCCACCTTACAGGCAACCCCTTTGATAATTGGGTAAGATTCAGCAGACAATCCAGCATAGAACTGCCCTAAATCTTTGACTCTGTATTCATTCCAAAGATTAGTGTTTGCCTGAAGTTTTGTTAGCTCCATCCTTACTGAAATAGGTGCATACTCAGCCTTAAAGTTAAATGGATTTGCAAAAAGTTCTAAGTCCTTTTTAATGAACCTGAGGTCCTTAAAATGTCTCTCAAACTCTTTTTGTAGACGGCAGATGACCATTTGATACCTATCAGGATCAAATATTTTTTGATCTTCCTTGTGTTGCTCTTTAAGTTCATCAACAATTTCCTTAAGGGCAGGAAAGTCTGTTAGATTTTTTTCTTCAATATTTCTCTGAAATGAATTCAGTTTTGCTTCAAAAGTACAAATATGGTCAAAGGCAGCAGCAGCAAACACCTTACTAACTCCCAATTGTTCACTGAGCCCTCGAAGGTGTTCCATAATATCAACCAAGAAGCCAAAGTCACAAAGCCACTGCTTGTCTGAGAAATGGACTGTTGTTGCCCCTACTGACACCAAGAACGCTTCCAATTCCTTTCTTAAAGAAAATATTAGTTTTAAAGTTTTCCCTCTTCTAAGCCAATTGTTCAGACATCTTCCATTAATCCTTTCACCATACTCTGATTCAGATTCAGTTAGTAAAGTCTGAAATTCTGGTCGCCTAATGCCTCTGGTCTTAATCGTAACTATCCATTCTGATATGGTATTTATGATCTGATTAACATCTACATCGTAGGAGCTCAACAGTTCCAAGTGAAGAAATCCTGAATAATGGATAACATTCCAGCAGTTGGGACTTACAGCCTTTTCTCTCATGTACGAAACCAGTCCTGAGTTCTCACCAATCATCCTCAAAGTGTGGGTCGTGGTCAAGCCAACCATTCGCTGCAAGCTAAGCCCAGCTGTTTGCAGGGCCTCTAGGACTGCGGCCATGAGCGCACCTACACTGAAGTGATTAGTCAGGTTGATTATGGTCAGGAGATCTTCCTGCACCTCCAACTGAGCGCCCACACCGCGGATAAAGACCAGGAGATAGTTCTCATATGCCACAAAAGCCTGGTCGTCTAAAGCAAGAGAATAGGCCTTAAACTCCCTGGCTCGCTTAAAAAGCTGATTGCGTAGGTTCCTGTCAATGCTCAACATCCTCTGCTTTGCCATCTGTGGAGATAAATCAACGCCTTGCAGGACGCCTAAATGCTCGGGCAGTAGCTCTTTCAGCAGTGCCTCCAAGCACTGGAATACAAAGTTCCCCTCACCACAGCTGCGACCTTTCAAGGCCAAGAGGCGGCACAGCCCGAGGCTTGCACGAGTAGCTCTCTCCTCAGGGCTGTGAGCCGGCACCGGCAAGTCGCCCTGACGCAGACGTTCCACCAAGGCCGCGCGCTCCCCCTCCGCCGCATACCTCTCGTAGTATTCGTGTTCTGCCTCGTAGTGGCGCCTGACGTCGCGTTCGCGGGTAGCTACGATGAGGCGGCGACAAACCAGGCACAGGGCCCCGTTGCCCTCCGGAGGCTTCACCATCAAGTAACGGTGGGTCCACTCGGGCCGGAAAACCACAGCCTCGTCTACTTCCATCTTGATCCTTTTGGGTGTCATCCACATCTTGCCAGAGGCCGCAAGAGCCGGGCCAACCACAGACCGCAAGAAGAAAGGTGGAGACACAGCAGTGCCAAACACCACCTTCGCTCTGCGCCAGATCACCTCAGCGGAGGGACACCAGCCTCGCTATAGTATCTGGGCGCCTATTGGATGGATATTTCGTATTCTTCATAGCTCCTAGGAACAAACCAATAAGAAGAGGGGACAGTGATCTCTAAAGCGCAAGCGCATATTTTTCTAGCTAGTGGAAAGCCGCCGCTTTAGGGAGGGACCAAGAGCCCCAGGAACCCACGGAGTTACGAAACTTGACTGGCATTCTAGCTGCCCAATCAATAGCTGCGACTGAAGGGTGGGGCAGGATGGCGAAAGCCAGATTTAAAGGAAGGACGTGAGCGAGAGGCTGAATTCACTTCCGGTGAGCTTCTGGGCGTGACCCGGGGTCCTCTGGCGCCAAAATGTCGCTTGTAGCAGGGGTTATCCGGCGGCTGGACGAGACAGTGGTGAATCGTATTGCGGCGGGGGAAGTTATACAGCGGCCTGCTAATGCCATCAAAGAGATGATTGAAAACTGGTACAGAGTCGAGTCGGGCTCCCTTAAAGATTACGATTTAACGGGCAGATCCTTTGAATGACTTGGGCACGCCTCTCTAATCTGGGCGGAGGCGTATATGGCGCATGCCCAGGACTACAGAGGCCTCGGGTTCCCTGGGCTCGCTCCATTCTGGCTGTCCTCCTTCCTGCGTGCGGCTGTCACTTGAGCAATCTCGCGAGATCGTTCTAGGGTTGTGTGGGCGCTAACAGAGGGGTATACTTAGTTTTGTTTTACTGGTACTGTCAATTAAGGAAGTTACTTTAAAATTATATATGCAAAAGATGCGAATTTATTGATCCATAAAAGTTTATGAAGGAGAAAATCTTCCAGAGTATAGTGTGTTATCAGTTCCTTGCTTGTTCTGTCCAGAAATTATACACATTCAAGAGCACAATTCATTTTAGGGAGTTTTAGGGCAGGCTGATATGGACTTTGACTTCTCTACTTTTGGAGAGCGCTTCAGAGATAACTGATGTTATGAGTTATCCGTGGATTCCGAAGCTTGGAACTATCACAAATAATGTGCATGGAAAAAGTTGAAAACACGTGGAAAGAAAATGCGTGTGAACTATAAACTTAAGAAAAGAGGCCCATATGTGCCTAAACGTTATGTCAGATCCTTTGTGTTAAAAATCACTTGATGTTAGTGGAGTCAGTCAATTAGTAGGAAAAAGAAAAAGAAAAATGCCCCAGTGAAGAGTGGTAGGTTTGTAGAAGGATTTTTTTGTGAAAACAAATCATTTAGGGCAATGGGACTGAAAGCTCAGTGGCAAAAAGGACCCCTGGGAAAAAGAAGAGCATTAGAAGGTAGACATGAAAAGGAACAGAAAAGCAGGGGACATTTTCTCCTTTTGACTTGGACTGGTAGTAGCAGTAGTGGTCTGGCTTCTGTTTATTTTGTTTTACTATGTTAGAATAAACTGACAGAACAACTTGAGCCAATAATTGTACTGTAGTAAACTAAACATTGTAGCTCAGTGATTTATAATTAATTCTATAAGTAAAGATTTTGTATGGAGTCCAGTTATGCTCTTTTTAATATGTAAGTCAAGCTGGCCAATACAAGGTTCAATGTAGGGGCTCCTGAGAATGGTCTTTAATTTGCTGTCTTATTTCTGGATAAAGAATTATCTATCTGTGTGGGAAGTTGATAACTGCTCTTTCTCATGTAGCGCCTGCTAGAGAGAGAATTTTAGCAGGTGCTCTGTTGTAAGCTACTCTTTGAAAGCACCAAAGATTTATTGGCTTCTTAAATAATTTTTGCATTGCCATGTTTTTCTTTGCTCCATTATAAATGTATTTCCTTACAGAAAAGTAAATAGTAGATAAAAACATTTAGAATTTTTGTTTTTATAATGATATTTTAGTAGAGTCACTTGGGAACCTGAAGCTGAATAAATTTGAAGTAACAGAGAAGAGGGTAAGAAAGAGGCATGTGCTAAAAGAATCCTACTTTTAACTTCTTTTATTATCTTTCATAGAGGAACAGAAGTAATGCTGAATGTGCTATTAGAAGTGATAGTTGTTCTGTCCCTCTCTTCTATTTCACACAGTATTTAAACTCATAGAATGTCATGGAACCTGTAGGACAAAGGAAAAACACATTAATGAAGCATTCTTATTTAGAGTTTGTTATTACCACTCAACTCATATTAAAATATGTACATTAGAGTAGTTGCAGACTGATAAATTATTTTCTCTGTTTGATTTGCTAGTTTAGATGCAAAATCCACAAGTATTCAAGTGGTTGTTAAAGAGGGTGGCCTGAAGTTGATTCAGATCCAAGACAATGGCACCGGGATCAGAGTAAGTAAAACCTCAGAGGAGCAGGGTGCTCATGTGTGTCAGGTGGTACCTCTGAGAGCAGAAACTTTCCATGTTCCAGAAACTCTAGGCTTTTGCATTCGGGATTTTTTTACTGAAAAATTCAACACCAACAATAAATATTTCTTGACTACCTATTCTTTGCTGGACATTGTTCAGGAGATATGACAATGAATAAAATACGAAAATCCTTTCTCTTCTGGTGCTTACATTGTAGTGGTGGGAGACAAACAATAAATAGGAACAAGAAATAGTATGTTAGGTAGCACTAAGTGCTATGGAGAAAACCATGAGAATGAGACAGTGGGGAGGGACACAGTTTAAATCGAATAGTTTAGGAACACTTCCATGTGGATATGGTATTTGAGGAGAAATATGATGGAGGTCAAAGAGTAAATAGTGAGGCTGTTTAAAGGATATGTATTTGGGCAGAGAGATTAATGTATGCAAAGGCCATGAAATGGAAATATGCCTGACATGTTTAAGGATTCAGCCTGGAGGCCCTTGTGTCTACAGGGTAAGGAGGGAAAAGAATATGGATAAGGTCTGAGAGAACATGTGGGTCCTCATAAGCCATGGTAAAACCTTCAGCTTTTATTCTGAATATGACAAGATCCTTGAGGGTTTTAAGCAAAGAGATTACATGATGTAGTGAGTTTTATTTTTAAAAAAAATCCTTTGTCTGCTATGTGGAAAATAGACTGCAGAAGAACAGAGTAGGAATAGTAAGGAGGCTCTTAGAGCAATCCAGGAGGGGAGGGACAATGCCTCAGACCAGTCTGGTCACAGTGAGATATAAGCAGTGAGATTCTGGGTTGATTAGGAAAGGAAAAACTGATGTAGGGTGTCAGATAAGGAAAAGTCAAGAATGATTTCAAGGTTCTGGCCTATGTCAATGGAAAAGAAGAGTTGCCATTTACTAACATAGGAGACACTAAGGAAGAAGCAATTTGGTGGAAGATCAGAAGTTCATTTTGGGACATGTTAAATTTAAGATGCCTGGTGTGGTATGTGGGAGTCTGGAGTACAGGGGAGAGGTTTGGAGATAAAAATTTGGAAGTTGTTTGAATTTTGATGGTATTAAAAGCCATGAGACTCACATCAGAAAATGGTCAGCATCATTAGTCATTAGGTAAATGCAGATAAAAACCACAATGAGACTACTTCATACCCATTAGGATGACTATTATAAAAAAAAAAAATGTATTGATGAGAACATAGAGAAATTGGAATTCCTGTGCATTGCTGGTGAGAATGGAAAATAGTGTATCTCCTATGTAAAATGGTACAGTGATTCCTCCAAAAATTAAACACAGTTATCATATGGTCCAACAGTTCCACTTCTGGATATATATACCCAAAAGAAGTGAAAGTAGTGACTCAAACAGATTTTGGTAACTCATATTTGTACCAGCACTACTTAAAATAGCCAAAAGATGAAAGCCTCCCAAGTGTCTACATTTTGGTTCAGTGCCCATAGCTCAATGGTTAGTGTGCCAGCCACATGCACCAGGGCTGACGGGTTCAAACCTGGCCCGGCCCAGGCCTGCTAAACAACAGTGACAACAACAACAAAAAATAGCTGGGTATTGTGGCAGCCACTGTAGTCCCACCACCCTGTAGTTCCAGCTACTTGGAAGGCTGAAGCAAGAGAATTGCTTAAGCCCAAGAGTTTGAGGTTGCTGTGAGCTGTGATGCTACAGCACTCTAC